ATCGCCCTTAATGCTCGCTCGCTATACCCTTTGCTCACTGTTCGACATCACACACACACACACACACACATAGGTACACACACACACACACATCTCGTGTCACCGCACGAGGGTTGCGCCTTAACGATTTGGGGTGGGCGTTCGCTAAAGCGCTAGGACGGCGTTGCGGTGGTCGTCGTCGTAGTCGTACCAACTTGGGCCTCGTCGGGTTCCCCTGTTGGCTACCAACGGTTCGCAATTATAATAATAACGTACAAGGCCATCAGTAAGTTGTAGCAGCTGCTGCTGTTGCTGTGCACGATCAACGTGCCGCCGTGTTATCGTGTACCTATACATAATATAATATAATATTATTATTACGTGCATTTACGTAGGTACTATATATAATTAATCATCGTTTAAGGTGGATCTGTTGAAGCTCATCCGAGAACGTGCCAAACTCCAAACCGGTAACATAATAATAATCTAAGATGGTATTTGTCCGCGGACCAAGTATAAGCTGCACCCCCTCATGCCGCCACCCAACCAGTATTACTGCGGCCTGGTATCTATTTAATTCGAGGATTCGTGGTTACACGACCTCAAAATGAATGGATATATTTATCGAAACCTTTAAGTTCCGAACAATAATATATATAGTTTCCTTAATCTCCTCACAAGGTCATTAGGTTAGATGTTTTACAAATAATTGTGAATAAAACAGAATGTTAGAAATTATATAAGACGAAAATTAAAAATAATTCATTAGAGATCCGTATAACATATTATTTTAGTCGATGGAAAGTAATGAAATGAAAAATATAAACTAAAAAAGATTTTTAAAAATGCAAAATACTGCAGTTCCAAAATTGAATTCATCGGTGTCTAATTAAATGTTGAGGATTCGATACCCGTTTGTTTTTTCTACTAAAATTTACCTACATCACCTTAACTACATTATTGCACCGACTATAATATCCTTCAAATAGGATTAAACTTTTGAATGTACGGTACATATTTTAATTCGCTCTTGAAAACGACTTTTCCCCCATATAGAAATTGAACTCCCAAAATCATAATAACCAGAATTTCAAATTTCAAATGTTTGGAATTTTTTTATATTTTTTATTATAAAGTGTGGCTGACATACAGGATAACATGCATAATTGATAAGAGTAAATTAGGTAATTAAAATATTTGCAACAGATTACAATAATTTACATCGATAAATAAACAAATAATGATAAAAGAAAGAGTTTATAATTTTAAAATGTTTATGATATTGAATGAAAAAATTAATCTAAAGAATATGAGGAAATAGTTTTCAAGCAAAATTTCGTGAGTAATTCAAGTATGTTTTTAGAAATTTCATCGAATAAATAGGTTATAAAAGATAAATAATAGATTAAATAAAATAATAAAAGATTGATGCTSAAGATGACAAAACAAACAAATTAAATTTTCTTGCAGCACATTACTGACAATGTTATTATCTTCGTGCGGKAACCCGTCGATAATATTTCTTTTACTTATAATATGGTCATCATTACTCGTTCACACTTTTATGGTTATTTACGACGCCATCTATTATGTACAAGTTCCGCACGGAACCACTCAGGAAATTGTCTATTTATAACTCCTTAAAACGGTCGGTATCGAATCCCCCAAAAGAAATAGTTATTTTGAACGGTATAATAAGCTCAACTGCTCAACCCTGATGGTCATTAAACACTCGTTTAAAACTCTTTCCAACCCTAATTTCCGGTCACTATAGCGCTGCAGTATATTATATATTTATATACAATGCTAGAAATGTGTAAACTAATACGCAAACTAATACTAAACGAACTAAGATTATTATCGTGTTAATTTTACCATTTATAAGTGTAAAGGCCCATTGTACCAGTTATTAACTGACTACAATCAAATTTGCATAAATAAGTATAATTTCTAATAATTTTATCGAATTCTATATTTTTTTATCAGTTTTATGATGTAAAATAAAAATAAAAATGAGTTTTAAGTTTTTTTTTATTTATTAATTTACCGACGCAATTTTAGTTTTACNTGACCCTAAGTATTATTTCGTAAGCTACGCCCCTATTGGTTTTTTTTTATCCCTTATTATTTTCCGAGTCTCGTCCCGCACTACTCGCTGCTCTGTCCCTTTCCATATTCCCCAGAATTGACTCCAAGTTACGCCACTGTTTATAGGTACCTACAAAAACAGTTTAGTTACAGAAACGTGTTTCGGACCTTTAATGATAATATTATGCTAGCAAAGCGGTGTTCGTTTAATGCTACACATTTCTAGCATTGTATATATCTAATATATAAAAATCTCGTGTCACAATGTTTGTTACCAAACTCCTCCGATTTTCATGAAATTTGTTGTGTATATTAAGTAGGCCTCAGAGAGTGATGTAAACTATTTCCACACCCCTATTTTTATTTTAAAGGGTGGCTCATACAAAGATTTTTTTTAACCTACGACAGTTTTATATTGTACCTACCTATGTTGTTATATCTAAATATGTCAATATGTGATTTAAAATTTAAAATTGTATATTCAGTACGTCTTCCGGATAAAATTTGAGTTGACTCCATTTAAATATCGCATGACATACGTATACACACAGTCACACAGGTACGTCTTCTACTAAAGCATAATAAGACTTCTAAAAATAAATATAATGAACAACTTAATATTGTTATTAAACGCAAATACTAGGTTTATACCTTTAGTTTTCGTCATCCCTTCTCCAAACAAGTCTTAAGATTTCCTCGGGATACAAAAATATGAAAAATATTGTAAGTATTTAAAATGCTGATGAGCGAAGTGGAGTGACAGTATTGGTGGATATCCGGGGGGCTGGGGGGGCTTAGCCCCCATGATAGCCGCAAAGCCCCCTCTTAAATGTTTGCCATATTATAAAAATATTGTTCAGTTCAGTAAAAAATATTAAGAAACATTTTTAAAATATATATTGTACATTTCAGTTAAAAATGTTGAGACCTAACCCAACCTAACCTAACCCCACGGCTTTGGTTCATAAGAAAAATCGTAGCCCCCCAAATTTTTCGATGGATATCCGCCAATGAGTGACACTACTTGAACAGCGATCTCTAACGACTCTAACACCGAAAAATATCCGGCACTACTGCGATCATCTTATACTAGGTAACAAAATATACTCGTCCAAAATTTGATTTTCAAGTGTTGAAATTTTCAAAAAATAAATAAATAACAGTATTTTACTCCGGATTATGAAATAAAAAATAAATGTATTCTTTAACAAAGGTCCTGACTTAAAAATGGTGAAAAATATTGATTTTCAACATCTATATCTCATAATCAATGTCTATGCGAATATCATTGTTTTATAATTTTTGCCAGTTTTTTTTTCATATTATAATAAATTGAACTCGTGTGCATGGTGATTGGTGGCCGATATTATTTATGTATAAATGTAATAAACTAATAAGTAGGTATAATTATAAATTATAAATAATATCTAACAATTATGCAATTAAATCGATAACATTGCAGACCGTTCGACTTTTAAATTTTAATTATTGTGCAAACAATTTTAGGTAGGCAATGATTAAAATATAATTATTTATCCTATTATATAACTAAAATAATTATTTATTAATAATTAATATCTAGAGTCACGGAGACAAATCGTGATCGTATGCTATTGAAACATTCAGTCTTCAGTATACCACACATACCACACCAAAGATACTACTAAAAATTAGATAGGTGTACGATAAATAAAACGGCTGAATGTAACAAACTGTTAATTGCCAATATTAAGTAAATTACAGTATTTTATCATATTTATAAGCGACCATAAACGATCTAAATTGGTCGAAAAATTTAAAAATCCATTATATTTTATATAATACAACAACACAACTACTTAGTACTTAATCAACTTATTTACAATCAACAAGTGCGGCGCCCCTGTTATCACCATAACAATACAACGTCTTTGACGCATGATGTTGCTGATAAAAAATATAAATTAGGCTTATCAAGTTCATTTATTTTTCAAATCGATCAAACCTCGATGCTCGAATGCTCGTCGTTTAATATAATTATATAAATGTACTCATTGGCCATTGTGTGACGTGTTTAGTAAGGGTTCCCGACTAGTTGTCAATTTTTTTAAACATTTTAGAAATATTTTTGAAATCTGTCAAACGTATCAATCACCATGGATATAACTACATCGACGGACATCATGATAATTAGCGGAAATTCGCACCTCGAACTAGCCAATTTGGTAGCTCGGTAATTATAATTTATTTACTATTTGTAATTTTCATGAGCCATGGTGCTATTTAATTCGTCATATTTACAGTCGACTTGGTGTGAAACCAGCTCGATGCGCCGTTTCTTATACCACAAACCGAGAAACCTCTGTCCAAATAAGTGATTCTGTTCGTGGAAAAGACATATATATTATTCAAACTGGTTCAAAGTATGTATAACTAATTTTGCTACAAATAGTTTAATAATAATACATTTGATATCTGTAAGTTTTTGTAACCATTGAATAGGTCGGCATTATGACGCATATGTATTTTCAATTCGCAATTATAAAAACAAACATAAACTCTCATAGTACAATGTGCAAAAACCTGTTGTACAACTTGGATTTTCCATAGATAATATTATAATATATTGTATATTATCAATGAGATTTTCTGGATAGTAAACAACAATTTTAAACATACTAGTCTATCTGAATTTAGGTCTATTGTGTAAACATTTGTTAATATTTTGTTGTAAAGCCGTCTATCTAATTTGATTGTTTTGTTTTCTTGGCAATTTTAATTAAATTTGCTAAAAATAAGTTTTATTAGTTGGCTGCTTTACAAATCTATTAACTCAATGTTTACTGTTGATACTGCAACGGTTTAAGGAAGCAAAACATGTCTTAAACTCACTGCTAGTTTCATACAAAACAGAACTTATTTATCTATTTATCTATTTACAAACAAATATTAAACAATTAATATCACCTACATATTTTTCAGTAATTTTTTTTTTAGGTTTCTGCTTAAGGCATATTAAGTATTGCATTATTATATATAAAATAAAAATAAAAATGTCTTATTTAGACGCTATGCAAATTCTTCATATTATATATAGCTATTGTTTTTTACTTCACTATTGAAAATATTAAATCTATTAACAAAATATTAAGGTGGATGGCTTCTAGACTTGCTGGTGACTTGGTTTATTAAGCTCATATTTAAAGTAAACATATACACGACATGCCTTTCAGTCGTACTAATAATTGTTTTATGTGATACTTATAACTTATGTGTACTACTAAATATATTACTAGTGATAATTATTAAACAGTGAAATATTAAAAATTCTTAAGAACAAATGGTTAAAAAATTAAAGACTTTATAATTATTACATGGTTGACATATATATTTATTGGCTGATTCTCTATATGATTAATATTGGTTCATTTCTAAGTTGTTTATTCGAACAATTAAAGTGAGCTAGTACCTAGTATCATTAAATAAAACAATATTTATATAATAAATGCATTAAAAAAAAAAAGTTATAATAATTAAAATTTAAATGTCATTAACAATGTAGTCACATTATTATTACAAAGATAGTACACAAATCATCAAACATTGACACTTAGCTCTGAATAATATTTTAATGTACACTGAATTATAAAAATATTTAATTATATCTCTTAGTATTTTAGAGTATTTATTTATTTGTATTTTTAAATGATTACATTTTTACATCATAATTCATAATTCATAATAGTAATAAACTTTATTTTGACATTCCTCTTGCATATCATATGCCTTTTAGTATTTACTAATTGCCTATTTTTAGCTATAAGATGATAATTATTATAAACCTTGTATGCTTTAAATTCTATGGAAATGTTTTAGAGATGTAAATAATAATATAATGGAACTCTTGATCATGGCATATGCATGCAAAACTTCTTCTGCCAAAAGCATTGTTGGAGTTATTCCTTATCTACCCTACAGTAAACAATGTATTAAAATAATTACACTTAAAACCTTCATGAATAATTTATAATTGATTTTGCTTCAGGTAAAATGCGAAAACGTGGTTCTATTGTATCAAAACTATTGGCAAAGATGTTGTGTTCGTSAGGCTTAACTCATGTGATTACAATGGATCTTCACCAAAAAGAAATTCAAGGTTTTTTTGAATGTCCAGTTGATAATTTGAGAGCATCTCCATTTCTTTTACAATATATTCAAGAATGTGTAGGTCTCCAATATTCCAAATATTAGTTGTAAAATGTATTAACATACTAAATATGATATTTAAATACAAGGTTGCCACTGTGCTTTCATACTTAATCAAACACAAAAAGATAATATACAGTGGCTATCCTTTATGTTCAAAATACCGTTTTATTGAAATTATAGTGAAATTTTTTTATATTTAAAATAGGATTTTAAATTTCTGTGAATGAGTTGTTCTTTATATTTGAATAGATCCCTGATTATCGCAATGCTGTGATTGTTGCAAGAAATCCCGGATCAGCAAAAAAAGCTACTTCATATGCTGAACGTTTACGTTTAGCGATTGCTGTTATTCACGGAGAACAGAAAGAATCTGATTCGGATATGGTTGATGGGAGAAATTCTCCGCCACCATCAACATCCCGTTCAAGAACGATGGACGTTGGAGTAGGAGTACCACAGCATCCAGCCAAAGAAAAACCTCCTATTAATGTAGTGGGAGATGTTGGTGGACGTATAGCTATTATGGTGGTTAGTAAAATATATAGATTTCAACAACAAGATTAATGATGATCTCTTAATAAAATATAAATATTTTTTCAGGATGATATGATAGATGATGTTGCATCGTTTGTAGCTGCTGCCGAAGTATTGAAAGACCGTGGTGCTTATAAAATTTATGTTCTAGCTACTCATGGTCTTTTATCTTCTGATGCTCCTAGACTTATAGAATCTTCGCCAATTGATGAAGTAAATTAGTAATAACACAATATGTTTAAATTTGTTTGTGCATTATGTTTTTTTATTATAGGTGGTTGTGACGAATACAATTCCTCATGAAATTCAAAAAATGCAATGTCACAAAATTAAAACGGTGGACATCAGTATTTTACTATCAGAGGCTATTCGTAGGATTCATAATAAAGAGTCCATGTCATATTTATTTAAAAATGTCACATTAGAAGACTAAAATATTTGTAATTGTTAATAAATTACTTAATTATGGTAAAATGATGAACATAAGAAATTAAATAAAAAACTAATAGAATTCCAAGCATTCAAAATTATTAACTTGAGTATAATATTTTGGATACAAGTATGAATTAAGTATATCATATTAAACCTTTTTTTTTTTTTTTGAAATACACCTTTTGTTTATAACCCTTATTTACTAAATGTCTGTGAAGAAAATACATTATTATTTAAAACAATTTACACATTAAAAATGTAGGTAATATTATAATTATTTTAATGTTTTTTAGTGCCATTATATTTTTAAATGTTTGTATCCTATGATAAAATGTTATTGCTTAAATTTATTTAAGGAATGTTCTCAAACATTTTATAAATTTAAAAAAAGATATAACATTAATTTGATATCGGTACACTATTTGTTTCCTCTCTCTAGCCTTCGCTCAACATAGCCAAAATACATTAACACAGAATCATTTTTCTATGTTTTTAAGTAATCTTAGTATAAAATCACCCATTATAAAAAAGATAGAAAATAATATTTTTGAGGAGATGCCAATATTATATTTAATCGTTTTTTGATTTTGTATTTGACTTTCAAAATAATCAAAAATTGTTGTAAATTTAAATTATGTCATGGACCAAAGAAAGAAAACAAATAGCGCTCTAAGAGGATGTCAGTGCGCTGACATCCTCTTAATGTTAAATATTCACAAATATCAGTACATTAAAAATGTAATGATTTATATTGAATGTATTTAGCTCTTACAAGTATCCTCTAGTAGTTATTAGTCACAGCTTATAAATTTATATGTTGATAATTATTACTAAGTATTAAATACCAATTATATAAATTACAGTCTTTTGTTTTATTCTGATTTTGATTATCTACAATAATGTTGGAATTATAATTATAATTGAAATCAATTTATTACACTGAAAAAAATATCGAAAATTTGTATTCAAATGCTCATCCTAGAAGAGGCTAGGATGTACTCTTATCTCATTTTTTACATTTTGCAATAATGTAATATTAAATACAGTTAAACTTGTATAATGTAATACTTAACACATTCACAGTCCTATATCACAGTGCTTGGAAAATTGACAACTGAAAAACCAAAAAAATAAAATACATACCCAGTTAAATTACCCATAGAAATAAAATTCAGTACGAGTGCCATATTATAACTGTATTAAAATATAATATTTTATTAAATGGTTGGGTCTTTGCATGGGGGGGGGGGTAAGACAGGCACTTGCCCTCTCCACTAAAATTGTTAATTTGTTTTTAAAAGCATTATCTGTAATGTGCCAATTTATTCAACATAGATGAGTAATCTAAAATGTTTTAGAAAATTATTTATTTTTTAAATTAATTTTGTCCTCCCCTAGGAAAATGTCTGTGAACGCCTATGAGTCTTTGTTACCTACTTACATATTTATACATAGGTAATATCTTTCAATAAATTTCATTTTTACTACATATCCAAATGATATTTTGAATTGTTTAAACTTAATTTAAATTGTTGAGTTCCTACCCCTTTATTGTATCTTGGCCATTTCATTAGATTAAACTTAATCAACAAAATATAAAGCTCATATGGTTAAATCTTTGAAACAAGTTTTTGAGGAAGAAACGGAAAAATATGATTTTTAAAAAGTCTTCGGTGTAATTTTTTCCTTTTTTTTTAAACTCCTATACCACACTTAACTATCTGGTTAACTAGGTGTAAGGTGGTTTTCCACTATACACGGTCGAGTAAATCGTTTGCTGTTATTGGTTGGTTAGAAAAGGTTACCACATGAATAACCACATTACCATGTTGTTGGACATACCGAACCGGACATGGGCACATAATAGCTGAACGTTTCACGTGTACACAGCACACGCAAGCCTGCATTTAAATTGCATTTACGTGGCCGATTAAATATAGTTCAAAAAATGCATTTAATAGTTTGTAATTGTTTTGCTTTTAATGAGTTATTACTTATATCGAGTTTTTCATTTGCATTTTTTATTTTTATTTTACCGGTCTATTAAGATCCGTTCAAAATTTTAATGCCTGTTACTTGCCGCGAACATTGCTATGGCTGAAGTGTGTTAGGCATTAGTGTTATTACTTAATATTACTTTACTATTGATAACTTATTAGTAAACAACTAGTAGACAAACCGCCAGGCTTGTGCTACTGGAATGGTGTTTACAGAAAATAGAATGAACACGAAAACTGAAAAAAATAAATCATTACAGAACACATATTATTCAATTCTCAAGTTGCTCTACTTCACAAAGTTTCTAGTGCCATCATTGGAATATCTATAAAATTATTTTTTTAAACTTTAATTCTCGGTTGCATTTGACCGGCTCAGTAAAAAGCGTGTGTTTTATGGCTCTACGACAGCGAACATTTTTTTGTAATGAATCATTTAATTGTTAAAGATATTTACGATATAGACGTTATATAAAACATATTATTATTATTGGAAATACTTATACGATTTGCAGGTTTACATGACTAAATTTCCATAATCCGTGGATTGGAATCACCTAGTTCGGTAATTACTGTTCCTGTCTTTTGGAAACCCTTTAAATGTGTAGGTAAACTTGTCGGGAATTCAAACTTTACATTGGTAAGGGGGAGAGGGGCAAAATTCCCAACACGAAAAAAAAAAGAACTACGTTATATCATTTATCAAAAATAAGTGATGAGACTTTACATTTTTACAATATATTTATATTGGCATAATATCTAAACATGGCACAAATTTAAAAATACATATATCGACTCCTTGTGAGTTATTTATAGACATTAACAATTATTTTCTTCGTCGATATGATTAAAAATTGAATAGAAGATTCCTCATAAGTTATGCATATCAGAATTTAAGAAAGCGGGAAAGTGGGTATCGCTCTGCTGTACATTAGGTGGTGAGGTGGACCTCTGACTAGTCTGACTAGGGTAGGTTAGATTTGAATGCAATGATAGGTATCATTGTATACGAAAAACGATTCTGAACGGAGATGATTTGTCAGTCTAGGATATATTATATTTAAATATTGTCATTATTTACTATTTATTTATTATTATTTCTATTTTGAAACAAATATTTTATTTTTCAATTAAGACGCATTTTGGATAAGGCATGGTTAATCAATTTTTCCAAAAACATTGCATGTAGTTATCATAATTCATAATACCTTATATTATCATAGATATACATATATACCTGGTTTAAGGATAAATCGTTATCATTACGCGAGTTCATAAAAATTTAAAACTCGAACGCTCAATACATTTTTCATATAATGACGCCTCAAATTTTCTCTTCTATAGCTACTTGAAAGAAAACTAATGGAAAACTTAATGTTGTWTTTTTAATCCTTAGTTATAAACACAAAAAATTTTATGATTTTTCAACTTCAAAATTACTTGCAAATTTTCGCGTTTTCGACAGATTTCGACTATAAGCGCTTATTTTTTTTAGCTACAATAAGAACAACTCATAAGGAACCTTGTATTACATTTTCAAGTTTTTTTGGTCGTCCAACATTTTTTTACCAGCACATCAAAAAAAAATTCTCAAAAAAATTGAAAATTTCAATGGTCTATAAATAACTCAAAAAAAGTCAAAAATTTTTGAAAATTAAACTGTATATAGATATCACTAACATAAACATTTGGTGAAAATTTCAAGTATTTATAGTGATTAGTTTTTGAATTACAACCATATAAAAAAATTGATTTGGTCGAAAACTGGTTTTGCGTAAAAATTCCCGGTTTTCTGTCATTTTTTTTTGTTTTTCTCGATTTTTTTGAAAACTGTTGGAAAATGTTTACTTTTGACCTGAATAATGTACCAAGGATATTCACTTTTACATCGGAAACCACCCCCAAAGTTTGAAATTGAAGCATTATTTCGACTAGTTATGGTGTACCACAGACACAAAAAAAAACACACATCATTGTAAAATCAATACATTCATCACTTCGTTCAGAATCTAAAATATCTAAAATAAATATAGGCACAATTTATTTTCTATACCAATGCCTTTGAAGTACAAATTTTGGCAAAAGTGGATGGATACTTAGACAAAAATTAACGATGTGAGTTATTTTTTTTTTATTATTTATACTTTTTGTTGTTTAAAAATTAAAAGTGATATGTTCAAGATTTTCATACAATTAAAACATTTTTTTTATTATTATTTTTAACACAATCTTATTCACACCATTCTATAAGGTATATTGCTGATAGTTGGTATAGTTATGTGATAGCTAAAGTATTAAAATATATTATAATATAATAAACCTATGTAAAATGTTTAGTATCAATTTGTTCCAACCTACAGACTACAGTCACTGTGGAATAATTACTTACGGGAGTTTGGCTTATAATGGTACTAATAAAATTATACAAGATTCTTATAGAAGTATATGTCTTATCTCAGTGCCTAGACTCAAAAAATATACAGCACTACAGTAGATCAGTAACTTTCTCAAATTTTGTTGTTGAATTTTGTATGAGTAGTAACATTGAAACTGATTAAAATTTGAATTAACCGTTAAAGAATTTTTTCAAGAAATAGAATTGATATTTTTTGATTTTTACTAATAAGAACTGCAATTAAAGTTTCTAGAAAGTAGGAGTCAGTGTTGAAGTGTTTTACACATCATATACAAAAACAAATTTGCTCTTCTAGAAATAAAAGTAACTAACAAACAATGTTTTGAGATTTCTATTGAGAATACTGTAATTACTTTAAAAAAAATTATTTATTTTCCAGTTGTTTTTAGGATATGACTTAAAAAGTAT